TCTCTAGAAGCTCCATGTCCCTCTTGTCCTGGGGAGCCCAGAACTGTCCCCAACACTCCAGGTGCAGCCTCTCCAGAGCTGAGGAGAGGGGCAGGATCAGGATCCCCTCCCTCGACCTGCTGGCATCGCTCCTCCTGATGCAGGCCAGGATCCCAAAGATCCCTTTCAAGAGAGACATTTTTACCTTTCTCAAGTGAAAGCTCACGTGCTGTTGCATCCTGGAGTTACATATTACATAGTTCTGCAATTCCTGAAGTTATAATTTGTTAAATTATACAGCCATAATCCCTACATCTTTATCAATTGTAGAGAATATCCAAAATTGCAATAGGAAATCACTTGGTTTCTCAAGCACCCAGGGCTGACATAAGCAAGCAAACCTGGACTAAAGTGCTGAAGGAACTGGCAGTTTGCTTGCTTGTTAACATTTTACTCCTGCTTGGGAGGAACCACTGCTTGAACGGGTCTCTACAAAGAGTTAACAAAGATTCACAGAGGTTAAAACTTAAGAAAGCGCCTCCAATACCATCTCAGCTGGAGTCAGGTTGCCAACACTCAGGATATCTGCAATATTTTTGGATTCTCCAAATTATTCTGAATATATTAGCTGCTTAATTTTGAATTCCTAAGCTGCAGATAGTGAATAACAACTCAAAGAGCAAGTTGGAATTAGAAATGTGCACTATATGTTTGGCGTGTTCTTGTTGCTAAGCTACTAAAACCAAGTTATGACTACAGGACTGTTACTAATTTATAGCTGCATTTCTAAAAAGGCCCTGCACCATCAACCTAAGCATAGCAATAAAGGCACAGATTAAAGTCATAAATTAGAATTTATTTTGGTAGTTGTACAGCATGCAGTGCTTTACAGAGCTTTCTAAACAAGAGCATTCTTCAATCCAGGGAGCTCTCATTGCTAGCTCGAGTTCTTTTGTTAAAAAAAGAAATTTTGGAAAATTGAAACACACTGAGAATTAACCCACTGATGAATTGGATGGGGACTTTTCAAGGCACTGTCTCCTCTAGTTGCTGAGTCTCAGGGCTTTCAAAACAAGTCAGTCAAGTCACTGACCAGGAATAACTAGTGAGATCCATCTAATACTTGCAAGCAGAAAGCGTCTAATACATTAACTGACCTAGAATTGCAGTCTGGCCTCAGAAGAATTGCAGAGAAATTCAGTGACTGAAGATTATTCCGAGATGCAGAATGCAAGTACATGCAGGAAAGCTTAAGATTCAATGTGTATTTGTAAGGAAGAGGCTTTTTTTGCACACCCTTTGACCAAGGCTCGTGTCCTTAGTGAGCATGAGCAAGATCTGCTGGTTGTGTTGCCACCCTTTTCCAGGAATCCCTTCTCAGCAAGGGTTTCTCAAGCCCAGATTAATATGGCTTGGCAAACCCCTGAAGGTTGCTTTTTATCAAGACAAGATGCAAAGGGAATCTCACCAGCAGTTTAACCGCGGTAAGCGGCCCCTTCAGTGAGGAACAGGCACAGCTCGTGTCGAGGCGGACAGATGTTGAGGTTGATAAAAGCAAACAGAATCACGTAAGGGGTGATTACCAAACAGTCTACAGAAGCCAACCGTGTATTACTTAACCCTTAAGTGAATCCAACACTGCTTGCACATAGCAGAGTGCTAAGGATGTCGAGAAATTTCCAGACCACTAACCTTTGTAACCAGGTAATTCCATTTCCTTATCTATATAGCATATACCTACACGTCATTGCATCGCCACTTGTCTATTTGCCAGCTTCTCCAAAAATGAGGGCTCTTTTCCTCTCTTTCCTCCAAATCTCAATCTTTTTTGGATCGTTGGGGTTAGGAGAGGAAAGGAAAAGATATTTTTCAATTATCTGGAGGAAACAGATTTGCTAGAAGAGCTCACAAAAGAAATAGAAACTGGTAGAGTGCTGAGTAATTAAGAGGATGGTTTATTTATACAGGCTGACCTTACTCATTTGGGAAGGTAAAGTCAGCTCAGCTAGCTTTACATTTTAAACACCCAAGTGCCAGCACAAATAGGAAAGTGAACAAAGTAAAGGTCACTTACAGAACGGGGGGTCTCCTTGTGAAATGCAGGATGCAAGAATTTTTACCCAGGGTAGACAGTGATTGAACCAAAGCTGCTGGGACGATTCAAATGACACAAGTTTCTAAACTTTGGCTTACCCAAAAGATGCAAAATCTCCAAAGAGGTCACGGACATTAAAAACAATCTGACATGAAGCTGCACGTGTTTGATTCAATGAGTCTGGCTGATCAGAAACCTCGTATTTTGGGGACACTCGTAATAGATTTTAGCTAACTTACCAATAGATCCTCCAAAACATTGCTCTGAAAAATAAAGTTTTCAGGGAAGTTGGGAGGAACAGCCCATCAGCATCTCACCTGAGCTTAACATACTGATTACAGACCCACTTGTTGGTCCAAAGTAGACCATTAATTTCATATGAAAACACATTGTTGACTGCAGGAAGAGTGCAGAAAGCAATTTGCACATTGCATGTTCTTCCTCCTCATCTCTTATGCCCTGCTGTCATATCAGTTATATTGGGCGTGATCTAAGGCACAACTGTGGGTATCAGGCAAAGCAAGTAAAGGCATACATATGACATGCATGTTGAATGTATATTTATGCTATGTACACACACATCATTGATTTATTCACACACGGAAGCAGGATCAGTCCAGCTCTCCCATTCACCTTCATGTAGCATTTCCTGCTAATTGAGAGAGAACACGATTGCTAGATTGGCTAAAGATAATGTCAGAAGCTGTTAATACTGTTTGGTGCTTTATCTGGAAACCTAATTATAGTACTCTGCATGAGTCTTAACACCATTACTTCCTACTGCAATTCACATTTTCTCTCCATTTTATTTAAAGCTCTTTGTATCCTGGTAAGGATCTGGAAAATCATAAATGACTTGCTGCTTTATAGCACAACCACACCAGTCCTATGAACGTTTTTACCAGTATCTGATTCAGATAAAATGAAAAGTTACAGAATTATTTGAGGCTTACAAGCAATTTAGGGAAGAAGCTTTCACAAAATTCCGAAGACAAGAACTTCCACAGATCACTAATCCATCTGAATTAAGTTATCTAATCAAGTTGAACAATTTGGGCTTTAAGGAGCCTACATACTACTTAAAAGAATGAACCATGAACACTTGCTTCCTTTCATCAGGTTACAATTGAGTGTTGCATAATACAAACAAGTTTCTTGATAAGGGATTTATGTGTTTAAAGATAAACTAGGCAGATTAACCATGTAAAACAAGACTCACTAGTGGCTTGAAATACAGGTAACATTTCACTAACACCTGGGAAGCCAAATTATACAACTACTTATTCTCAAGTACTATAACCTGCAGCATTTGCCCATAAATTAAGCAAAAGTTCATTGCAAGCATTATAGGCCGGTGCTGCTTGTGGTTTCTAGAATACTTACCTTTTGCCCAAGAATTTTAGAAGCTTTTAGGCTTCCAGGTTTTCCATGTGATCTCAAAACTTTCTGGATTAAGTTTTTATAGGAGGAAGTGATATTGGACAGAATGTGAATGTAGATATGACCACAATCATACAATTAAATCTACTGCACAGTCAAGACAAAAAAAAGGAAAGTTCATTTTGTATTTTTAGTTTGCAGCCCCCACCTCCTTTTTCCTCTGCCTTTAACCAATGAAAAAGAGGCAAATATGCTTATGTTTAAAAGAAATGAGAACTACTCACCGATCTGTAACAATACGGGTGTTACCAAAGCCGTCTCCATGGCGTAACAAAATTCCCTGCCAAACATTACTGCACCGTGCATCACCCAGAGGCGGATGGGTATCCGGTCTATGGATCCTTCACTAATGGTCTCCTCTCTGCTTTCATTCTCCTTGTTCTCTGGTTTCTGAAGCTGTGCCACAGGTAGATCTTGAACTTGCATAGATTCCGAGTCAGCATTCTGAGGAGCCATTTTCATCACCATAAAAATATATATATATATTTATTATATCTATATAAATAACATTACCATATCTCCAAGGACAACTCAGGGTGTCTTCTCTTTCAGCTTTTGTTCCTCAGGCAAGTAATGCTTATATTCCTCGTATACAAACAGATATCTTGCAAATTCTTGTACAGGTATGAGACATTAAGAAGAAAAAGCTATTTGGTAGGAATTTCAACATATGGCTTGCTGGTTTACTGTGAGTTAGAGTTAAAAATCCATAATTGCCATTCAGTTAATACCAGTTTCATAATTATTATTGAAGAAGTGCTGAAGTTGTTTTTCTTGCTACACAGAGGTGGAAAGGCGACACAAAGAGGTGCTCCACTGTTAATCCCCATCGAGCGGCTGATTAATCTGCAACAAAAAGCAACCTTTTCAAATATTTCAATAGCATTTGTCAGGATATCGTCCCCCCACCCCCTTTTAACCATAAACCCTGTTTCCTGCTTACTGTTTTCCATTGTCCTTGCTTGGTGCAGGGGCTTTTATTCCACAATCCCTCCTACCCCTGGACTTTCCCTTAAGATGCAGTTATTCCTGATGCTTAAAGGATGCTTAGCTGCACTGTTCCTGCAGTTTGTGGTCCCAAACCACAAATGCATCTGTGATTCTCAGAAGATTTAACGTAAGGCAAACAATTCTGGGAAATTTAATGCCAGTTCCACATCAGAAACAGTTAGGATATTCCAGGGCAGTGCCAGGAAGATGACTCAGACACTGCCAAGTGCTCCTTCACCACAAGGACATCCCAGTTTACACTTCTGGAAGTTGCCAGTGACTTTACAGTCGCGCCTAAGACCCAAAGCTCCCACAAGAGCCCTTGACACTAGAAAGTTGACCATCCAACCGAGTCGAGAGGTTTTCATTGTGGGAACTGAGACCTTCTTATAACAAAGACCTCTTCAAACCAACATCAGTGAAAATAAAGCCCTAGGAATACACTTTATAAGATCAATATTTAAACGTTTAATGATGAGAAGCACGGAACACCCAGCCATTTGGACCCTCCGCATGCAAGTGCAGGCTACCTTAGTTCAACCTCCTATGAGGTTTCTCAAATCCAGAATAAAATGATGCAAATCTTCCACAGAACATTATTCCCAAACTACATTCCAACCAAGCAAAAACCAGTTTCTCCTCTGTGTCTCTTATCTGTGCCACAAATGTCTCAGCAAGCGTACACATCATGCCATTTACGTGAAAATGTGAATGTTTTCAAGCACTTAAAGAAAAAAATAGCATTTTGTGAACACCCCTTACTGCCAGTATCACTTCAGAGCTGAATCCCCAGAGCTGCTCTTGCATATAATTTGTTTTTTTTTTTTTCCTCCCAGTGGAAAGCACTTTTTTTTTTTTTTAAGCATTGCACTGGTCCTACTGTTACACTGTAACGTAGGATTGCTTTATGCAATGCCAAGGTATCCTGCAGAATGGTTTGCTCTAAAACGCTTCATTTACGAGGTTGTCCTTTAGAAAAGAAACAGATAAAGTCCCCTTCGTCTTCCTGGGGCAAGGCCCTCAGATTGGCCACATCCCTATGATGAAGCCGCTTAGAGCCTTTCACCAAGCATCACGTGGCAGCTTTCACGAGGTTCATGAACAGAAACCAAGTGAACTTTTAAGAATCGAGAAAGCAGAGCAGGAAGAGAAACTAAGAGAAATGTTACTCGCTGCTCCCTGCGACTTCCTGGGAAACGATCTTCCCATCACATCTGCAGGTTCCTCCAGAGCATTTTTTCAGTGACTCTCTACGTTTTATGCTGGACAAACCCTGTGCATTTCCCTAGGAAAGGTTTCTTCTTGCTCTTTCAGAGACTGCAAAGTTGAGAGATTTGCCTGCAAGCACCTCCTGTGGGTCCCCTTCTTGCTGGATCTCCCACAGTTGGTCTTCAACCATCTCTAGATGGACCTCCCTGCTCCGCAGGCTCTTCTTGCCCCACAGCTCCCATGGCACAGCCACGATACAGCAAAAACTGTTGCTGCCAGCCATGAATGGTATGGAAGTCAACAAGTTTATTTAAATTTCAAACAGAATGGCTAGAGCCATAAAACCCTAACACTACAATCAACTCAAAATCTGCCATTTTTCTCCTTCCTGGCTCACCAATATTACTAAAGCTCCCAGATTTGATCACCCCGATGAAAAGTTAATACTACAGATTGCTTTTGAGCAGGTCAAAGCTTTAAACCATGTCAGAAAGCTACCATGGGGTACTCAGATCACAAGGCCTTTATATTGTTCAAGTTCCAAGTGTATTAACACATAAACAATAAACAGCTCCGAACAAAAGATCTCAAGAAACCCTCCCTTTCTCCACCTACTCACTGCCACCAGGGCCAGCCGTGTTTCGAGTTACTGATTTACAGGTACTTATTCATGTTCTTCATCAGCTCCTTGCTTTCCTAACACCTTTTCTTTCCATCTGTCACAGTCTAGATTTACTACGTTCCTGCACAAGCCAGAGCCCGTTTGCCTCCTTCCAGTAGCTACCTACAGAGCTGAAGTCCCAGCAGAAGGGAGATGTGTGACATTCTCCTACCTTGCTTTAGTACCTGAGGTTTCCTCCAACTCCTTGAATGGCTCTTAGATCATCATAAATATGAAATACTGTGTGCATTTAAGAAAAAATCATAACAGAGGTTCTGGCTGAGTAAAACCTCCAAAATAACATGCTGTCCTAGATGACTATAAAGATTATAGGCTTTTTCCTCTTATGCTTAATTTCCCCTTGTTTCACTGTCTGAGAGGGGTTTGATTCCATTTCCCTGAACACCTCATTTAATAACTAGTTACTGGGTTGCAAGATGAGGGTTGAACAGACCCAGAGCTCCATGCACCAGAGTTTTCTATGCAAGGAGGGTGACCCCAGGCTGGGAACATTTATCCCTGGCCAAGGATAAGGAGGCAGCAACAAAGAGCTGCTGAGACTTGGGCCATCTGAGTAAGACTCTGAGGGGATGCCTGAAAAAATTATGCTTGAAGTGGAAGATGAGCAGAAGGGATTGGATAATTTCAGAGATGGGAATAGTGGATGATAGGCAGAGGTAGACTTTAAAGCTGTATTGAGAGAGATAAAAGAATGGTGTCTTTTAAGCATGCCAAAAAAAGCAGTTGCTGTATTCAAGCACAAGAGCAAGAAGCAGACGGGCAGGTTTTATCTAATGCAACAGAGAATGAGTGTTGCATTATGCCAATTTTATGGTGAGCATCACGCTCATCTCCCAAGACTTTCAGCTGGCTCCAAGCACACCTGGCAAGAGCTGGAGAACTGCAGCCTCCTGGAAAGGTTTCACTTAGGAGTCCTGTTGTGTTCTGTAAGACACCAAGGAAGGCACATAGCTCCTTCTGCACCTCTTTGAGCTAGGAAAACCAAGACTTCATTGATAAGATTTAATACAGCACCTGAGAAATTTCACCTAAGAAATGGGCCAGCATTATTATTTTCTTTAAAAAAGTGGAAAAGTGGGCTTACATTTTACCTATCCTTCAGCCAGTGTCAGCATTAAAAGAACTGCAGATTTTAACTGACAAAATATAAAAGTGAAGATTTTCATCCACAGAAGGTGGTTTAGAGGGTGCAAAGAACATCTCTGGATGCAAAGCGCACTATAGACATATTGCTGATCTTGTGAAGTGCACATGGTGGGAGGTGACTACGCTAGCATTTCTTCAGTATCTAATTGCAAATGTTTCCCTTGGACCTTCGGCCACCTAGAGACAGTGACACAACTGGTAGAGAGGTAGTTAATTTTCAATAAACCAGGCAGGTTGCATGTTCTGAAAGCAGGTTATGTTTACAGACTGCCCAGAGAGGTTGTGGAGTCTCCTTCTCTGGAGATCTTTAAACCTTGCCAGGATGTGACCCTGTGCCACATGCTCTGCTCTGGGTGGCCTCGCTTCAGCAGGGGGTTGGACTAGATGGTCTCCAGAGGTCCCTTCCAACTTCAACCATTCTGAGGTTTTGTGAAAATGAACCTGGAAGCAGAAGTTTTATAAAAGCTGCTGAAATGCTCAGTAAATCTTACCCATTACACTGCTACTCCCTTGCATGCAGGCACAAATCCTTACACAAGCGTGTGAAGCCCAGCACGACGTATTATGGGCTGGAGCCTACAGCCTAGGGACAGGCAGTGTTTGCAGACTGAGCCAGAGGACCATTTACTGCCTTCCTTTGACCGCCAAATGATATAAATGGTTTTATGGATCGTATCTGTGTGCCACAAACTCAGTGTTTTGTCCCTCGTGAACACTAAGATGCCAGAGAAGTGCAAAAAGCCTCTGCTAGACATGATGCAACACGATACCTCAGACAAATGACCTCTATCCTAGTTCACAGCATGTTTATTTTTTTCTCCTTCCTTAAACACAATTTTACATTTAGAGGTTGACAAGTGACATTGCCTGTGACACCATCCTCCAGAGATCAGGTGATGGGCAGCGCACCCATGCATCCCGAAATAGAGCATAAAGAGGGTTAACAGTGATCTTGTCCAAATCTTTTAAGGCAGAGCTATTTTAGTGCGTGCTTCCAGATATCTGCTGCCTGTAAGGAACAGGAATGCTCTGTTCTACATGCGACTACATTTTCTGAGCCCGTGCCAAAGCATATGACTTTAATTAAAATTACACAGTCTGCAGCAAATTTCAGGTAATCGCATACATACTTTATTAATTAGTAAGTTTGGCAAGATCAGTGAGCTCCACTGGATACCATGAGAAAAAATCTGTTCTTTAGGAAGGCTGAATTTGTGGGTTTTGCCCTCTGAAGTCACTAGGTGATCACTGAGGCATTTATCAGCCTAAAAAAGTTCATTTAAACAGGGGAGGGGGGCATTACTTGCAAGATCTTAAGCCTCCAAGAGAAAATGTAAGCACAACCAAAGAGGGATAGTTGCTTCCACAGTGCAGGTAGCAGCAGCTGAAGCCAGCCAAGATACTTCCTGCACTACAAATCCCATCACAGCTTCCAAACCTGGTGGAAAATCATGTTTTTGCTGGGGGCGACCTGTTTTGCAGGCCTGGGTAGTTCTGTTTCACAGCCAGGTGCTTGCACGGAACAAACACCACAAAATATTTTACCCCTTTTATTATGCTGATTATACTTTAGGTTTCCCAATCCGGTGTAAACAAGTGCTTCCTCTCAAAGCAGAAGCCCGTTCCTCCTTTTTTTCATCCCAGGTTCCTTACTTCCACCCCTTCCTGTATGGCTGCATTCATAGAGCAACCCAGACAGTGAACCCAACAAAAACAGACAAAAAATGCAAAAATCCTTTGCTCGGTGTTATCTGATTGCACAGCTGCATTGACCTGTGTAATGAGGAGAGGGAAGGCAGAAACAGGCCGCTAGGATGAC